TGGCCAGATTAGCATTTTTTTTTGCAAAAATTCTCACAAGTGATGCAAAATCCAGTGACAGAATTCCAATTCTGGTCTCACAGATTCCCATCTGGTAGCAGTTCATCTGTTTATTAGGAGGTATCCCCTGAATGTGAGTGATTTCAGTCCCTAAGTCACTGCACCTGTTGCTGGGAGGAATGTATTCCAGTCACCAGCCTGAAGCACAGGGAGTTATGGCTTGACATTGTATAGCTTGGAGGGGGTTGTGGGGAGATTGTCTTTTCAAAATCATTTGTTCAGAGTGGAGAAAATGGAGTGAAACAGTTCTTTGTGCTCTGAGCACCCCTGTTTGGCAGCATTCACATCTGTACTGCACAGAGCTGCAGTATTGATTCTTTGGCTTTCAGAGCCACCCACAAGTTTTTCCTTCGATTGTCAGAGTTGCAAGATGGATTGGATTACACTTTATTTGTTGGGATGCTCTTTTTTTTTTCTTCCCCCTTTTCTCGTTGTTGAATTAGAAATTGGTTGAAAATACAGCTATGAATAAATGTCATAGTAATAGTGTGATTAAAAGGCTTTAGTTTGTTGATGCATTGAATACTTGACCATCAGACACACCGCTTCCTTTCTACCCTTCTTCCTCTACAACTGCAGCACACTGCACACCCTGACTTTGCCTACTCCTACACGGGAGTCCCCCAACCTGCAGCTAAAGCTCATTGTCAGTTGGAGAGGCATTATCATAGCATTTCAGACCATGAACCTGGGAACTGAAGGACCCGGTTTCAAACCTTGATTTCATTCTTATTGGGTGTATGATCATGGACAATTCAATTTTTCTTTGCTTCACTTTCTTCCTTTTTAAAATGGTGATAATAATGATACATATCTCATACAGCTGTTTTGAGGATTTATTGTCAGTGATTGCTTGTCAAGTCTTTAGAGGGACTTCCGGTGATTCTGGGTTGATGAGAGTGGCAAATCCTCTCCCTCCCAAACAAGGTATACTCCTGGACAGAATTGTCAACAACCACCATTTTAGGGCCCTGGAAATTAAGCAAAGCTATATAAGAATTTGGGAAACACTTAATGATGAAAAATTGATAGGATTTTTGGTTTGAACAATGGAAGTTTAAAGCCTTCCACCTTGGGACAACTCCTTTCTAACAACTCCTTAGCTGTGTATACCATTTTAGTCATTTTGTTAGGGTAAGGCTGACGGTGAAATAAAATGACTCTGCTGCCAGGGAACGTTGCCTTGATGTGGAGCAGAGGTGGAAACCCATGCCCAGCAGTGTTGTCAGTAAAAGCAGTCAACACTGTGGAAAACAGATGGGGAAAACCCGTAGCTCTACCTGAGATTGTGGTCCCAGGCGGTGTGGTCCCAGGCGGGGGGAGACTGGAGGGCCAGTCTGAAACTGGGAAATCTTGGGAATAAAAGAGTCAAAGTTCTCTCAATGCTTTTTTGATGAACGGGAAACTACACATGTGTTGTGGAGAAAAGTTACCCAGACTGACTAGAAAATGTCCTGGATTCTGAACACTCTTCCTAACCCACACTCAGGTCAGTCAGCAGAGGTTAGACACCTTGTTATGTAGGTTCATGGTTTTTGTGAAAAGTCTCTGCTCCATCAATGGCTGGTCGCTAAGTGTGGTAGAGGCAGGGGTGAGCCTTAGGAAGCCAGATGAGAAAATAAAAATAAGAACTAGAATAACAACAGCAGTAACAACAATAAGGAGAGATTTCAGAACTATACGCTATGGGGGACACCAGTGTGCAGATTTAAATCCAGTCAGGATACTAAAAAGAAAATGTCACAGTAGCAGTGATTCTCAGGGAAAGGAGATCTGAATTCAGTGTTGCTCACTGTATTTTATTTCAAATGTCTAGTGTTCAACAGCAAGACATTAGACGACATGCAGAGAAGCAGGGAAGTTGACCCATCCATACTCAGGAGAAAAAGCATTCAATGTAAATGTCCTCTGATGTGGGCCCAGAGGTTAGATTTAGCAGGTAAACATTTCAGAGTGGCTGTTAAGAATATCTTTAAGATTAAAATAAAACTATATTAGAGAATTGAGGGGAAATATGACAATAACTTAAAAATATGTAATCTCAATGGAGATATAAAAACTATTTTATAAAGCTCTTGGTGATATTCTTGGCACATCTTAGTTATTTTATATCAGTGTGCTGCAAATAAATTCACATTTTTTTCCTCCCCAAATATCTTAGCTTTATCTGAATCCAGAGATTCAGACTGAATAGGTCTAGATTAGGGCTTGAACATCTGTCTTCTTGAAAACACTTTACCAGATGACTCTGATGAAAAGTGATGTTTGGGAATAACCATATAGCCTTGGCAAGTTATTCTAATTTTTTTTTCTTAAAAGTACCCACTTTAAACAGTTAAATTACTTCATGTACAAAGGAAGAAAGTGGGATTAAGAAATAGTGTCCCTACTTGTGATAATTTATTCTGTGTGACTCAGAATAGTTAAGTCACTAGTCTATACAAAAAAAAGTGTGTGTGTGTCAGAGAGACGGGTTGGGGGTGGAGAGAGATAAATGTCTGGGAATAATGTCTGCCTTTCCCTAAAGATTTACTTAGTTAAAATGATGACTTTTAAAATTAATAACAATTGCAATACTTTTATTTCAATTATACTGTGCTCCAAAATTTTATAGGAGGTCACTTGTTTGAATTTCCACACAGATTTTGCAGCAGAAATAAATGACCTCTCTGAGGCCCTAAAAATATTTCAGTTAGCCTGGTCAGCATGGCTCAGTGGTTGAGCACAGACCTGTGAACCAGGAGGTCACAGTTTGATTACTGGTTAGGATACAGGCCCGGGTTGTGAGTTTGATTCCTGGAAGGGGTTGGGAGTGCGTGGGAAGGGGTGCAATGTTTCTCATCATTGATATTTTTAGCTTTCTCTCCCTCTCCCTTCCTCTCTAAAATCAATCTGAATATATTAAAATATTTCAATTAAAACAAATATAATAATACTAGTTTAAGCTGGATTATTGGTAAAGGCAGTCCAATCCAGTATCTGAAAATGGAAGAAAGCAATAGTGTACATAAAGTTGACTTACGAATTTGGGGAAGTTTATAAATAAACTCTTGGAAAGAGTTTGTCTTCATTTCCCAAGCTCCATTTCTGTTTTTCTTTTTCATTGATAGTGCACCTCTCCACATATTTTTAGTAACCTCATAAGACCATAAGCCTTCCTAGTGAAAACCTACCAAAGTAGGGGTTTGCCACAATCCCCTAAAGATTCCTGTGCTCCAGATTGTGTCTTTTCTCTTCATTTCAGTTATACCTTTAAGTTTTTCTCAGTAGAACTGAGAGGTCAGCCAAGTTTGAGAACTGCAGTTTTCTAAATCATATTAATGCGTAACCCAGTAACCCTTTTGAAGGATTATTTGCATCTTAGAAAGAGGATGCCCATTTATCCAGGTGACATTCTGTTTCCTTGAATCAGTGAGACACATTCTGCAGTAAAAGTTAAAGAGAACAGCGGAAACCGGTTTGGCTCAGTGGTAGAGCGTCGGTCTGCGGACTGAAGGGTCCCAGGTTCGATTCCGGTCAAGGGCATGTACATTGGTTGCGGGCACATCTCCTGTAGGGGGTGTGCAAGAGGCAGCTGGTCGATGTTTCTCTCTCATCGACGTTTCTAGCTCTCTATCCCTCTCTCCTCCTCTCTGTAAAAAATCAATAAAATATATTTAAAAAAAAAAAAGTTAAAGAGAACAATGTGTGGGTTTAGGATTAACCTGGACAAAACTCAGCTTTTCACCTTGGCAGTTTATATCTTGGAACAGTTTCCTTCTGAAGGTTGGCATTTCTCAATAAAAAGGGATATAAGGAATAATTCATGGGATGCAGAGTAATTAAAGGATAGAGATAAGAAAAAATTGCCAAAATTATTTGCTAGTATTTTGTAACAAGAACAGTATAGATGGCAATAGGTTGGACAATATAACATTGAGGCAATATAGACGTTTTTGTTGAAGTATCTGACCTATAGGCAGCAAACCTGCACAGTGAAGACCTGATTCTTCCCCACACAGTTCTTCTCGGTTGTTCTTGGCTTTTTCTGCCTTTACCCTTTCTCCTATGCTCTGTTACTACTCTGGGATCCCTGGTTAAAAAATGGTTAAACTTCAAATTCTAACCTTTTATTTCATTTGGGAATCTTCTTTATAGCATTCCTATACTCTACCTCATGCAATATACAAAAATTCATATAGAATTTCTCAGTAAGCACTTCATATACAGTATATGATCTCATTTTAGAGTTATACAGATATGAAAAGTGACATTACAGATGTTTTTAAATCTCTCTTCTGTAGATTGTCAGACCCGAGACTTAAAGAACTTTTGCCCTTTCTAAGAGTTTCAACTTTTTGGTTCCTTTGAAGGCCCATCTACTGATAATTGCCAGTTTTAAATGAAATGTGTATTAATTGAAGTAATTTATCATACCATAGTATGTCGCTGTCATTGTGTCGTAGTTATTTTAGAGAGAAACTGCTAAAACGAAAGTATTTTTAAGATACTGCTACTAACAGGCACTTATATGTCTACATTAAAGGAAAATATAAGGCCAATGTATAGCCCAGTTTTTATTCAGTTGCATAAATGAAACCTGTTTCTTGAATAGTTGTTACATTCTATATTTGTAAAACTTGTCAATATTTATAAATCCATTGATTAAATTTGTTGTTTTTCTATAAATTAGCTCAAAAAGAATCACCTATTTTCTGATTATGACTAGATTATACAGAGTACTTAAAGAGAATATTGTGTTTTAAGTTGTCTTAGAAAAGTGAGTAGTTCAGCTAAAGGTACATATATAATAAACTCTTGACTCATATTGAAGAGCAAAGGGTTTAAATTAGCATATGAATGGTTAATTTAAAAAACATACTTTGAATATTATTTGAAAAAGCCTTTAAATAGTGCACTTCATAAATAAGTTAATTTAACTTAAGTTTATTTTCTTCCAGGTTTCAGCAGAGCAGCTTTACCATTTGGGTTAGTTCGGCGAGAATTGTCCTGTGAAGGTTATTCTATAGATCTGCGATGTCCGGGCAGTGATGTCATCATGATTGAGAGCGCTAACTATGGTCGGACAGATGACAAGATTTGTGATGCTGACCCATTTCAGATGGAGAATACAGACTGCTACCTCCCAGATGCCTTCAAAATTATGACTCAGAGGTAAATATTCGTGTGTGAGCATCTGTCACCTGGTGATCAGTGCACATCATAGGGACCTGTCTTTCCCCAGTTCAGTTGATTTACATATTAGCGTTTTTTATATAGGATTATGCTATAAAAGCAGGGCTGCATTTTTTATAAATTCTTTTGAAAGGAAATGGAGTTTTAAGGTACTTAGATTTTATAAAAACATACAGTTGTTTTCTGTACTTTTATTATCAAAATATATCAAATTATATGTATAAGATAAATAAGAGGTCAATTCCGAAACTGACTATAGAAATCCCATTTTTATATTGTATTATACTGATGGCTTATAATTATTTAATCACCACGGTGACAATTTAAACATAAATACTTTGAAGACAGTCTTAAATGTCTTAAAAATGAGTGTGATGGTGGTAGCTAGTAATTACTCCTTTCTGTATATGTGGATAAACCTTTAAGACAGACTATCATATTTGACTGTTATTTGGTTACGAATAGCTATAAGAAAAATGGAAGACAATATTTGTGCAGCTGAATTATTACTGAATCACTTATGATTGTATATACTACTTGTCCCTGTTTTTTTTTTTTAAATTTAAAAATACGTTAAGTACAAATAAAATAAGAGTTATTTTCACCAAACTCCTATTAATTTGGCAAATTTTTTATTTGTAGTCATAAAAATGTGATATTTAATGGAGCAAAAAAGAGACTTTGTTTTTCTTTAATGTAGAAAAATTTCTATTTGGAAAGCTGTTAGCATTAGAATTTTTCTAAGTTTGAAATTCCCCTTTTCTTCCTGTAATGATGGAAATTGGCACAGAATTTTCTATCACTTTGGCAGTTGAGAGGCAAGTAAATAAACATACTTGTAATTGTGAATGTGGTGGCGGTAAAAGTGTTGTTATTCCTTTTTCATTTTCTATTTCTTGATCATTTAAAGTGTGAAACCAAGAGTCTGTTAGTAACTGATAGTATACTTGTCTTATAAGTACACCAAATGGCCCTATCCGAAAAGTGAGAAATTAATTTTTTTCTAAAATGATATGTGCTTTAATATTTTATAAAATAATCACTATTAGAGAAAATTTTTTACCACCCTGAAGACAGGAGTGGGGTAACTTAAAAAAAAAATATGAACTGTTGTAACAGCTTGAATTTATAAAAGTCAAACATTTCCCAGCTACTGCTCTGAGGTATTTTATGAATGAGTAAATTAGAATTTGCCTGCAATATTGGTTCTTTGCAGAACTTAGGTACAGTCTAGTTTGTGTCTTACAGTGATGGGCTAACATCTTCTGCTTTGCTTTCAAACTGTCTTTCTGTTCAGGTTCTTTGCTCTAAGAATCTGTGCATTCTCATCTAGGTAGTTTGCTGCCTAAGATTTTTCTCTGTTACATGTCCTTAAGTTTTTAGTACTTTGGCCTAGAGATCTGGAAGTAAATGTTTATTGTTTTAGTTTTTGGTATTAAAGGTAAGGTTAAGGTGCCATGGGTATTAGGTTCAGTTTTAGAGTCTTAACTCCTACTGTCAGTGTACCTCTGTCAATACAAAGAGGTTCCAAAATTAGTATGTACTGCTCTCAAGAAGATGTAAGAATATGTGACTCAGTTTTTCTCTCTGGTAGGAAAGTATACCACGTGTAAATGATTTAAAGGGGTGTGTGTGTGTGTGTGTGTGTGTGTGTGCATCAAAATTGCTGGAGGAAATAGTGTCCTAGTCTTAGAGAATTAGCCTGGCTCCTTAAAAGCTTTTAGTCAAAAAAAAATTTTTTTAGCTCACAATATAAATAACAACTGACTAGAACCTCATAGTTAAAAACTAACTATATTAGTGTTCTTATTATAAAACTAACTATATGAGGATTCTTATTAAATAAAATAAAATAAAATAAAAACTATATTAGAGTTATTACTAAATAAATAAAATCAAGTTTATTTTTGGTTGTTATACTACCCATCTAAGCTCTTCTAAGTTTAAGGTTGGCATATAAAAATAAATAGTTTGTGTCAAGTAGTTATAGTTTATAAGAGCAAGCACTCAAAGGAGTGGTGAGAAAACATATAGATGAAGCAGACGTACAGTACAAGTGAACAGATGATAGTACCCCCAGAGTTCATGTAGTTTGAGCATGCGAAAGCCCTGGAGAACGCCTGCCTCGAGGGAAGAGGTAAGGTTACCTTCCAGGAAACAGGATGGGAAACAGGAAACAAGAGGAGATGTCTCCTAAGCTAGTGGCAAAGTATAAGACACATACATTTTTTTTTTCTCTTGTGATTAAGATTTTTTTATTCTCAATACAATAACCCATTGAGATTTTCAAGATAGTGTTTCTTCAGGATAGAAATCAAGACAGCAGCATTCAGCCTTGCACAGACCAGAACAATTGGGTTGTTAATCGGACAATACTTGTGTACAATTTAGTTAAATTAAGTTAAGGAAGTGCTAAAACTCACTTTAGAGTCTAGATAATTTCCAGAAAGGTTAGGATGATGGAAGTGAGCTCACATATCTAGGAACCAAATTAATCTACTCCCATTCTGTACCCCATTCAATAACTTCTATCCTTGAATTTCTAAACCACCCAGTGTCCCACCCTGTTATCTGCAAGTATAATAGCTCCATTTTATTTTTAACATGTTAACCCACAGCAACTCGGGTAGTGACAGTTTCTTGTGTGCATGATAATTTAAAAAAAAACATGTTATTGTATATGTACATGTGTTACTTTTTCTGTCCCAGGGTTCTTTACATCACAGTGGTGCAGAGTGCGATGGAACATTGAGTACATACTCCCAGCATGCAGTTAGAAGTAAGGCTGCAGAAAGGATCATGCATGTCTTAGTCTGGAATAAACAGAATGACCTTTCCCTCTGTCTCTCCACTTCCCTTCTTGCCACGCCTTACCAGGCAAAGGCACATAACAAGGGTCCCTTTATGGGAGGAGAAAAGCATACACAATTGTTTCTATTTTAGGAGAATTTTTAAATAGCAGATTGTTATAGCTGCTGAGTAAGTTGGGACTCATCGTATCCAAACACCCTTATTACTCTTGGGGAATCAACTGTCACTGCAGTCAGTACACTGGCTCATACTGCATTCAACCACCTCCATCCCCACACCCAACCACAGGATGCATTCTGAAGCCCATAGTGGATGCTTGAAACTAGGGTTGGTACCAAGCCCTATATAGCCTATAATTTTTTTCTATACATACAGGGATGGGCAGAAATTAGTTTAGAGTTGTGAGTACACAAAACACAGAGTTTATTCTTGTATTATTATTTATTATACAAATAAATATTGTATTATTTTCCATATGAACAACTTTAAACCTACTTTTGCCTTTCGCTATACATACCTATGACAGTTTAATTTATAAATTAGGTGAAGTAAGATGAACAGTAACTAATAATAAAGCAGAAGAGTTATAACAATATACTGGAATAAAGTTATGGGAATGTGGTCTTTCTCAAAATACTTTACTGTACTATACTTACTCTTCTTCTTTTGATGATGTAAGGTGATAAAATGCCATACCTATTCCTCAATCTATGTATTTATCCTTACTTGCATTAAGTCAATAGCTTGGTCTTACTCATTTCAGCGATCTCTTGCTGTAGTCTTTATATAGGCTCAATGTTTTCTGGTACAACATGTTACTCTCCGTCAGTACGTGTTTTGTGGTCATGTTTGCCATCACAAATGTAATGCCTTTTCTATCCTAATTAAGTATTGTTACGCACCGTGGCCTTACTTTGGCAGTTTGAGGTGTGACAGCAAAACTACCATTGAATTTTCCCCTTCTTCATAATTTCACTAGTGGAAGATTCATTGGTACCATGGATCTTAGCAATCTCAGCATGTGGTGTGTTTTCTTTTCTCATTAAGTCAAGAACTTTAACCTTTTCCCTTGAAGGTAGCATTTCACAGCTTCTCTTTGCATATCTGAGTCAGCAGCATCACTACTCTTGTGCTTGGGGCATTACTAACTAAAATAATAGTTTCTTTTTTTTAATTCTTTAAAAAATATATATTTTATTGATTTTTTTTTACAGAGAGGAAGAGAGAGGTATAGAGAGTTAGAAACATCAATGAGAGAGAGATATCCATCCGCTGCCCCCTGCACACCCCCTATTGGGGATGTGCCCGCAACCAAGGTACATGTCCTTGACTGGAATCGAACCCGGGACCTTTCAGTCCGCAGGCTGATGCTCTATCCACTGAGCCAAAAACGGTTTCGGCTAAAATAATAGTTTCTTAAACACAGCACCATGATACCAACACAGTGACCCCCAGACAGCTACTGAGTGACCAGCAGGTGGGTAGCATATACAGCCTGGATACTCTGGCAAAAGAGTGGTTCATGTCTCTCGTGGGGCAGAGTGGGATTGTGCGAGATTTTATCCTGCTACTTAGAATGGCACATGATTTAAAACTAAAGAATTGTTTAGGTCTGGAATTTTGCATTTAACCTTTTTGGACTGCGGTTGAGAGCAGGTAACGAACCTGGAAAGCAATACCGTGGATAGCGGAGAGGTGGAGGCAAGGGTATATTCTCCTCATTTAAAAAAATCATTGGGAAGGAATGGCAACATTATATCCTTTTTATTTAATGAACCTTTAAAAAGGTTGAATTATTTGTCACAGGGTCTGAAATATCAACTTTTCCATATCTATAAACCTCAGGAAGTGTGGAATGAAAATTTATTCTTGAATAATAAGTAATGATTCTTAAATAATAATTTTGTTATTTAGGTTTTAAAATTTATACTTTTGTTATTCTTAAGTATTCTAATGGAGATTAAGGGTGTGTGAGATATTTAAAGACAGGAGGTACATATACTTAAAACCTTTCGAGGATGACCATTGGGAGCTTCTCAGAATTAAACCATGAAAATCCATTAAAATGCAGTCACAGTTCTGCCACTGTTCTCTGGCAGACATCCTGATTATAGATTTTAGTGTGAGTATACTCTCTTTGACATATGGCCCTCTCAACTTCTATATTG